TACCGGTACCGTATAATAAACTTAGCGTAATGAGCAACTGCGTGGGTGGTAGCCTACATAGATACACAGAAACTTGGATAGAATAGAGAACTATCACAGCAGTGGACTTGCAACAATGAGAGATGAGTGCTTAATCAATAGGGCACATCATGCTCTTTTTTGGAAACTTACAGCTAAATTTTGAGCATAATAATTAATTCTATTTCAGACAAGTTGTACTTTTATTTGCTCTATTTTATAGAACTGCACTTCATTTAGCAGCTGTAAAGGAGGACCCAGCACTAATAGACCTTTTAGCAGCTACTGCAGTTCCATCATGTAGAATGCAGACTCTGATAGAAATTCTCCTTTGCGGTAACGATATTCTCTTCCTCTCTCTTTCTTTTTGTTTTCATTGCATGTACGTTTGTTTCGTTGTATGCACATTGTGTATGTATGTATGTATGTATGTATGTATATATGTATGTATGTATGTACATCAGTGGCGGATCTGGGCCCGGGCCTAGACGGGCCATGGCCCGGGCATCAGAAGTCAGTAATGAGATTCATTAGATGCAATGTAAACAATTCCCTGCCTCAAGTTTTGATAAAGCAAACCACAAGCCACACCAGAGTACTTACAAGTGCTTGAAGAGCATTATAAGCACAGCATAGATGAGGAAATTGTTGAAACCCATCATAAAAATGGCCAAAAGATGCATAACCATAAAATAACTGGTTGAAAAGTGGACACACCCACTTCCTGGCCCTACCATTAACTTGCACCCAGATCCGCCACTGATGTACATTGTATGTATGCATAGAGTTCCCACAGAGCATGCTAAGTGAGCTAATAAGTATGCTTTTGCATGGCCTTTTGGAGTAATTTTAACTTTAACTAGAAGAATGTAAAACATTAAGGGGCTCCGCCCCCTAGCCATGTGATCATCATCATCATCATAAAGATTAGGTTATTTAACTTTACTTATAGCTAGACGACCCTACAGTCACTTCATCACTAAGGACTTTGCCAAATTAAAAATTTAGCCTTCTATAATAAAAATCAAGAATTTTCTCCCAGCCATTTTTGATGATATCATCAAAAACATCGGGCAAAAAACGTCATACAGGGTATTTTAAAATACCCTGTACGATGTTTTTTGCCCAATGTTTGAGCAACTTTTAAAAACTTCTTAAAAAATTAACTTTGATTGGAACAAGCTCAATCAAAAATTTTATACAACATAAGAGCTGAATATGCATCAGAAAAAAATTATAAAAATTAAAAATATTTTCTAGCCATTTTTGATTAAAATTTGGTCTACTATAATACACAGTATATATAGGCCAGGTTTTCGGCTCAATTTTTTGAGCAACTTTGGGGAACCCTAATGTACATGTGTCCCTCCATATAGGCTTGCTAATACTGTAGTACATCATCCTGATGGTACTCCTCCTCCTCTTTTACACTCTCACACAGAGAGAGAAGATCCCTCTTATCATGATAGTACACGTCACACTGCACCATTGGAGCCATTGTCAATGCCACCACAGTTAGCTAATACACTTGAACATATTGTATCTCAATTAGACATACTGGCCCATGTATTATAATAGTGTATTAGTAAAACAATTTTATGTTAGACTGTGTCAATATTAGAGCAGAGGCTAATGACAGAACACCGTAGGGCGCTTTTTTTAGGGCTGTAAATTTTGTGGATTTCGGAATTTCTTGAAGATTTGCAAAATTACTTCGTGAAAATCAAATTATTACAGCAAAAAATGGCAGATGGCATAAATTCACAAAAATTAAATCCGCAAAATAGATTTTTAGGCAAATTTGTGAAATTTACAGCCCTCGAAAAAAGGCAATCTACGGTAAGTTAAAAGAATGTGTTGATAATCAACAAAGAACAAAATACAACTAAATGATTAGACTTTATGTGCATACACACTTACACTATAAAGAGATAATAAAATACATTTATTTTTGAGCACAGGACAGTCCAGGAATTAAATCTTATTGAGTGCTGCACGACTGCTGCTCAATGGTTCTTTCAAGGTTTCATGTTCCTCTGCTCCTTTGTCCACAGTAGCAAGTAGATCTCCAGTAGAAGAAGCACGTTTGTGACCACGTTTGAATGTTGGACTCTCATTGTTTCGGCTTGCCTTTTGTTTGTCATGAACAGAAAAAGTACGTTTGAGGCTAGTAGGACTTGTATAGTCAGACTCTGCCTGACTAAGACTTGTAGGAGTTGCCTTATCTGATCTAGTAGCCTTATCTCCAATAGTACTACTCTTGTGATCACTATCTTGAACTGGTATTTTTTTCTTTTTTCCATTCCTTCCGGGCCACCATGATTTGCCTGACTTGTCTTCTCCTGATGTGGGTTGCTGACTCTGTAACGTTGTGATGGCGACAGACAAACTGTTCATTTGTTCGTGTAGTTCTGCATTATGGTCAAAAAGATTTTTAAATAGCTGACTGGAATTTTTGCATTCCTCTTCCAAACTCTTAATAAGCTCTTCTAATTCTTGAATCTTCTTGTGATTTTTAATGAGCTCAATGAAATTTTCACGCTCCTCTTCCAAACCCTTAATACGCTCTTCCAATTCTTTAATCTTCTTGTCATGGTAACCATAAGCCTCTATACTAGGCTTTACTTTTTCCTCCAATGCTCTTAAACGATGCAAAATATCTTTCTCATCGTTACTTTTACTAAACGATTCAATGGCCCTGCTAAGTTCGGATTCGAGATTTTTAATACTCTGAGTGTTAGCATCAACTTTGGTCTCTAGCTCCCCAATAATTTTGTAATTTCCTGTTTAAGCTGACTCTTTTGTTCTCTTAGTGACTGGACTCTTTTTTCAGTTCTTCGACATGTTCC